TATAGTCTTAGTTTCTTTGGAAATTTTGTCATATAAAGATACTGGACTCTGTGAGAAGTCTTTTGATGAAAATAATCACATGGTTTCTGTTCATATGCTATTAATTAATAAAATATTAATTCTATTTATATGCTGAATTACATGTACTGATTTGAATATGTTGACCAAACTTTGCATTCCTAGAATGAAGCTAACTGATCATGTCTTATTGGCTTCTTAGTGTGCTGTGAGTTTGATTTGTTCATCTGTAAGGATTTGTGAATTTTTTTTATCAATGTTCATCAGAGAAATTCATCTATAACTTTCTTCCTTTGTTGTACCGATGTCTAGTTTTGGTACCAAAATATTCCTCACTTATTAGAGTGAGATTGCTATTATTCCTTGCCTTCCTATTATATGGAAAAGTTCAGGGAGCATTAGTGTTCACCTCTCTCTCTCTCTCTCTCTCTCTCTCTCTCTCTCTCTCTCTCTCTTCTAAGACAGAGACTCATTGTGTTCTAGGCTGGCCTGGAACGTACTATGTAGACCAGTTATCCTCAAACAGAAGACATCTGTCTGCCTCTGCCTGCTCCTGTCTCACAAGTTATGGTTTTATAGGCATGTGCCACCTTGTCCAGATGTGTTAACTATTTTTTAAAGGTTTGATAAAATTCAGCAGTGAATTCATTCGTTCCTGGACTTTTCTTTGTTGGTGGGTGTCTGTGTCAGCTTCAATCTCCTCAATTGTTGTGAAAATATTTTAATTTGTTTATATATTACAGATTTAATTATGCAAGTCATATGTTCTTAGGAATTTATTAATTTCTTTTAGATCGGGCATGTCCAAAGTGTGGCTTCAGGATAGCTATGAATGTGGCTATTTATTCATAAATTCATTTAAAATGCCATAATTTTGCTTTTCAATTTGTTTTCTGGCAACTCAATTACATGGGCCTGGAGCATGGAATTTATAGATGACATCATTGTGTTGTGGTGTTGGAAGGTTGGGCATCCCTGCTCCACCTTGTTCAGGACTTGTAGAATATGGTTTTCTCAAAGTGCTCCCTAGTGAATCTCTCATTTCAGGAGACTCTGTCATATTTTCCTGGTTTTCATCTCATCCATTATTGAGTCCTTTCTTCTTTTTGTTTAGTTTAGGTAAGAGTTATCAGTCTTATTTACTTTGTGAAAGAATTAACTCTGTTTGACAGATTATGTGTACTGTTCCCTTAGTCTCAATTTCATTAATTTCTGCTATAATTTTCATTATTTCTTAACACCCTATTGCTTTTGGTTTGGATTATTCTTCTTTTGCCAGGATGTAGCAGTGATTTGTTAGGATATTTGAGACACATTTTTTTAAATGTAAACACCCATATCTATAAATTTTCTTCTGGGAACTGCCTTCCCTGTATCTCAAAGGTTTGGGTATGTTTTGCTTCCATTTTTTTATTTGATGATAGGAACATTTTAATTGGTTCAATTGCTCAAGACAGCATTGCTCAAAAACCATACATTTGTGTGTTCCTTGCTATTGCTTTCTAGTTTTATTGCACTATCATCTGAAGCTACTAATAATGCATGCTCTGCTCTGTTTCTATTGGGTGGAATAATCTGTTAAATTAATTTGATCCATGGTACAGATTAAGTCTGAGGTTTGATTTGTTGACTTTTAGTTTGGATGTATGATTAGAGATGACTGTGTTATTGAAATGACTATCATATAAGGACTTATTTCATCTTTGATATCCATTAGTATCTTTTTATAGTTGGAATTCACAATGTTTGATGCATATGTATTTACAATTGTTATGTTTTCTGATGAATTGTTCCCTTTATTAATATGTAGTTGCTTTCTAGATGTCTTCTGATGATTTTGGTTTAATGTCTACTTTTTTCAGGCATCAGAATAGCTATGGCAGCTTGTTTTCAGTTTCCATTCACTTGACAGATTGTTTGTCATTCTTTGTCTCTCAGTATGTGGATACCTGTGTTTGTTGTTTTATATCAACTTGACACAACCTAGACTCCTCTGAGAAGGGGAACCTAAATTGAGAAACTGTTTAGGCAGTAGGCAAACCTGTGGGGCCTTTTTCTTGTTTGAGGATGTATGTGGAATGGTTTAGCCCACTTTGGTTGGTGTCATCCTTGGGTAAGTATTCCTGGAGTGTATAAGAAAGCAAACTGAGCTAGCCACAAGGAGCAAGCTAGTAAGCAGTATTTCTCCCTGTCTCTAGTGCCTGCCTCTGGGATCCTGCTTGAGTTCCTGCCTTGGCTTCCCTCAGTGATTATGCTTTGTATGCTGAAATAAACTTCTTCCTCCCCAAGTGCTTGTTGTTGTGATGTTTATCACAACAGTGGAAAACAGGCTAAGGCAGTACCATTATCAGTAAGAAGTGTTTCTTGGAGACCTAGAAAATCTGACTTAGTATTTTAATCCAGCCAGACTGTCTGTGTATCTTTGTTGGTGAGACCATTTATATTTAAGATTATCATTGAAATATGTTTATTAATTAGGATTGTAATGTTTTGGTAGTTTTCTGGTTGGCTAGATTATTATTTGTTCATCACTCAACTCCCTTTTCCTATTAATATCAGGGGCCTCCTGATTTACCATCTTCGACGTGATAATTCCTTCTTAGCTCTCCCTTGTACAGTCATTCATCTCCTAAAGCTTATCTTTCCTGTGGTCTTGTGAGACTGTCTCTCTTTCTTATTTGTGTATAGAGATATCCCTAATGTATCTTTTCTAGAGTTGACATGTTGATCATGAAATATCCTAGCTTGTATTTTATCTTAAAATGACCTTATTTCTCTATCATTTTGAAACAACATTTTTTACAGGATATAAATATCGAAGTATCTTGGCTGTCAGTTTTTGTTGTTGTTTTGCTACCTTAAGCACTAGAAATATATGATTGCATGCTTTCCTGCTTTGAAAGTTGCTGATGAGAGGTCTGGTGTTTTTGCACTATTTCTTTCTTTGTAGGTCAGTTGACATTTTTTCCCCTTTACACTTCTAGTATTGTTTCTTTGCTTTATATTTGTGTGTGTGTGTGTGTGTGTGTGTGTGTGTGTGTGTGTAGATGTGGTGGACGAGTATGCATGTGAGTAGGTGTTTGACTGGTATGTGTTTGTGTGGATGCTGGTGTCAGCTATTCTGCTTTGTCACTCTCTACTTTGTTTCTGGAGATGACAGCATTTCTTACCATCTTTTGATCAGGCTGGCAGCCAGCAGACCCCAGATATGCTCCTATCTTCAGCCTCCAGATCACAGTGCTGGGGTTATAGGCATGTGTAGCAATGCTCAGCTTTTTATGTGAACACTGGAGACTAATTCATATTTAGGTCCTTATGCCTGTGCAGCAAGTACTCTTACCCACTGGGCCACCTCCCCAGGCCCAGTTTAAGGGTTTTATATTGTGACTATAAATTACTGTAGAGACTTCTCTGGTCATGTCTACTTGTGGTTTGATGTGACTTCAGGGTGGATAGCCTTTTTGTTTTCTCTAGGTGTGGGGATATTTCTGCTATAATTTCATTGAACAAACCATGTGTGTATTTAGAGTTCATCTCAGCTCTTTCTTCTCCTGTATGAATTCTTAGGTTTTTGTCTTTTGAATATGTCCCAGAGTTGTTGGATGTTTGGGTTGTATTAACCAGTGTTTTTTTCTTTATTTGTGTCTGAGCATATTGTCATTTCAGCCCTGTCCTGCAGCCTTGAACTTTGTTCTTCTGCTTGTTTCTGTCTTTAGATGATGCTCCCACCTTGATTATTACTTGACTGGTTCTTTCATTCCCTTGAATTACAGTCTGATTCTTCATCAGAGTATCCATTTCCTTCCTTAATTTACTTTCCATATTTCTGAGTTTCTCTTACAAGCTACTGGCTATCTTGTCCACCGACGTTACTTTCTTCTCTAGGTCCTGAATTGAATCCCTTAGTTTGCTTATCTGCTTATTTGCGTTCTCTCTATGATTATTGATTTTTTTTCAGGACTCTGCAATCTTGCTTGTGCTTTCCAGCTGTTTAATGGGACAAGGTGGTTGCAAGACACTTCCAAAGTGTCACTTAGCTGCCTCATTAAATATTGGACAGAATTAGACCTTTATACAAACAAATAACCTGGTTTCTTTTGTCATGGGGCATGACCCCAGTGTCTCTTGGTGTATTTTCCCTCCAGGAATTTGGACCTACTCATATTCAAACAGACTTATTGCTAGCAGAGCATAAAGAAGACAAAAGAGAGTGTTAAGTTTTTCAAGCTATCTGCTTCCATTTTTAGGTACATACTAGCTGATTGTAGATACAGGCTTCCAAGCAGTTGGCAGTCTGTCCAGCGTCATTACTCTCCAGAACACCCTAGGACTGAGTGCTACTATGTAAGATTTTCCTGGGAATGATTGCCCTAATCTGGGGTATACTGAGTGGCCCCTGGCATTTTCTTCTCCCCACTTTCTGTGCCTATGCCTATAAATGGTCCTGCAGATGGACCCCAGATGCACTACACAGCAGAATTTTTCCACAGCACCCTGCACCAGTCCCTTGCACCTACCTAGTAAGGTTCTTCATTGGACCAACAACCCCTAGACTTCCCCCTGCCAACATGAATCATCTACAGTTGTCATCACCCACCACCTCCCAACAATGGTAGGTTATCAGTCTCTGAGAGGGTGTATTGAAGGGAGATTAGTAGGCAGGGAAAGAGAGGATAGGTTCCCTGAGATGGTGGCTTCTCTTTCCCAGAAGTCTCTGTGATCAGCAACAGGAAAGCATAGGGGTGGATACTTACAGAGGACCAAATGGGGAAATAGGAAAAGCGGGGGGACCCTATGGAGTTTTTCTTGTGGACATCTTGAGATGCTTGTTTCAGAGGCAAAAAGCATACACTAAGAATAGATTCACAGTAAGTCTGGGCCAGTCCATCAGGTGTGATGATCTATTTTTGTCTTTATTTTGAGTCTTTTAAGGCATGGTGCTAGTTGATGTCTTTCACCTGTCATTTTATCTGACTTTATAGTAGTTTCCCATCAAATTTGCTGAAGCTGGACTCTCTACCTATGTGGACCATGTGTTCTGACAGGGGGACCAGCTTTACTGTGCAGGACTCAGTATGACACACGATCCTCAGTATACACGACACAGAAGGCATCATCTGTAAAAATCATTTGAAAATTTGGGTTACCAATGGCAAGGCATTAAACTATGTGCTGATCTCTTCTAAGTGCAGGTATGTAAGACTTCACAGCATGAGGTAAATCTTCCCCCAGGCCTGTGGATATTTCTTTGCTCTTTTTCTTACTGATTTTCTTTCCCCACAGTTAAAGACTCTAATTCAAGGTGTATGTTAAGATTACTTACTTCATTAAGTGCATTAGTTATTTTGCTTCACTGTGGCTGAAATGTCCGATGTGAACCACTTAAAGCAGAAAACATCTAATTTGGCTCCTGGTTGCAGAGGCTTCAGGTACATGGTCAGTCACTAGGCTCTGTGTTTCACAGTCTAGAGTGAGGCAGAGCATCATGATGGCAAGGGATAAAAGAGAAAGATAGCAAGGGACCAGGACTTGATACCTTTAAGGGCCAGCCCTCAGTGACCTACTTCCTTCAGTTAAACCCTATCTTGAAGTTTTCAGAACTTCCCAAAATAGCAGCACCAGCTGAGGATCAAGTGTTTAACACATGAGCCTGGGGGTGGGTGACGGTGGGCATTTCATATTTAAATCCTAAATGAGTTTCTGTAATACAATGACTTCATCTTACTGAACTCCATTATGTTATGAACATTGGATCAGTAATGAAAGCCAGAATCTCAGACCTCATCCCCTCTGCCTTATAGCATGGGATGATGTAGCGGAAATGCCTTGCTAACACAGGTTTTCTAAGCTTAGATTTTGAACATCAAATATGCAAGAAACCAGTACCCATTCTTTATAAATCACACAGTCTTATCTTGATGTTCAATCACAACAGTGCAGGCTGGACTTTGACATTTTTCTTAGTTTTTTTTTTTTTTTTTTTTTTTTTTTTTTTTTTTTTGTCAGACCTGGGACCCAGAGCACCTGTATCTGAGCTGTTATAATTGTGTTTGGTTTTATTCCTTTTTGTCCACCCAAGGCTGAGCACCAGATATGATTATTTGTTTTTGTCAAAACATGGGCCTATAGTTCATTCTTTCTTAAAATATTGGTTATTTAAAATATCTTTGATGATTTATTATTCAGGAATGTAGACAATCCTCTTATGTCTCTCCATCTACTCCTGGGCCGGTGGCAGGAAGTTCTCCTTGAATTTATGTCTTCTACCCTTCTGTTCCAAGAGGTCATTTCCCCAGATCCTTGCACTAAAATAGTGACCACGTGAACCTTGTCAGCAAAAGTAGAAACTGCAGAGTTTCATGGGCAGACTTGGATGCCTTTGTTTTTGTTCTTTTCCCACGTAGGAAATTTAGGGGAGCCACTGACCATTTTAACTCTCCAGGACAGCTGTTAGCCTAGCCTCAAAAATGGTTCTGAATCAATTGCAACAATATTGTTATCTTACTTCCAGAACAGTACCGAACCTCCATGGTGATTTGTTCTCTTGAAATTCATGGTTATTGACTGTGGCCAATTATACTAAGTGCCTGATATCACATACAGAGAAAGGCATAATTGTAGAATTTTTTTTTTCTGAGGTGGGATCTATAATTCAATCTCTTAGGACTTATGCCGGAAAACATCCACTATCCTCTAACACCTTTAAAAAGAAGGTTATAGTCATTGGAACCCTTTATTATATTGACCCACTTTCAGAATAAACTTGAGAAAACTTATTTTTCTCTACCCAAGGAATAGGCTAAACAATTTCCTTGTGCTTTGACATAGTTACACTCTTTCATTTATGTAAGATTTTAGCCCCCTTATTTCATTGTAGTTTGTTTTATCCTTCCTAGTACAATGAGATCTTCCTGAAGGGATGACTTATTTTGATATTATTTTATTATTGTATTTCTACCTTTTAGAAAATTCCTGGTAAAAATATAGTTGGGAAATATTTGTTGACTAAATTAATGATTTAGGCAGCATGGTGGTTTATTAGATTTACACTAGATGGTACATGTCTAGAAGGAAAGAGGGGCAGATCCACCTTATTCTCTGTGAGGAAAGGAAAAGAAATCTCCTTTGGAGAGAACAGAGTCAAGGAAAGAAACATTAATATGTTCTTTGTGGTAGTTAATTTTCTGGTGCCAACAGTAAAATATCACAGTGTGGGTAAATTTTAATGGAAGGAAGTTCATTTGGGTTTGTGGTTCTAGAGGTCAAGGTTGAGGGTTGCAGAAGGCAATGGCTCCCTTCCTTTCAGCCTCCAGAGTAGATGTAACTTTCCACAGACACCTGTATGAATGCATGTCTCTTCTCATTTCCCCTCTTTTTTATATAGCTATTAAGAGTCAATCCTGGGAGCTCTGACCTCGGTTATATAATCATGTCCCCTAAAATGCCAGCCTGGAATAAGTTTCTACTCTTTTTAATCTTTACAGTGGAGTTAGACTTCAACTCACGAAGCCTTGAAAGACACACTAAAATTATATCCAAGTGTATACTAAGGTTTAATTTTGACAAAAGGTCAGTGTGCCAGCACCCTAAAGGAGGAAGGCTTCTGTGGATGGCAAATGATATCTTTTAGGTGGGCCCTATGCAGGTTCTTGGGCTATGCTCTATAATGAGGGAGGTGCCATTAATTCTGAGTGCAAACTAAATGAATATAAATGACATTTCAACTGCTTTGATACCAACTGCTCTGATAGCATTTACAGTGAGAGAGACGATTGCATTGCTATCTCTGCAGGGATGGCAGATGGTACCCATGCGATGGCTGGCACTGAGCAGTTCTGGAGGTGGGCAGAATCTGCAAGGCTGCTGTGACAGTGACTCTGGTCAGTTAAGGCGTTCATACGTGCTTCAATGGCATGGCTGTGATGCACAGCACAAGTTCAGATGGGAGGAAAGAAGACATAGCCAGCTGAGATGATGTCGCACCCATGAAGCAGCCAGCTGACTCCCTTGCAGGTGCTCAGAAATGTCTATGGAGTATTAGAGAAAGTATACGTGCTGTAGGACTTCTGTAGAGGAGAAAGGGAAACTGGTAAGTGGATTGGGTTTTCCTCTTTTTGTCTATTGCTGTTCCACTTTCTCCCTTTCCTGTGGATTGATGAATATGGATTAATAAAGGCATGTTTATTAGGGCTGACATTCTCTCCTTGCGGAATTAGCATTGCCATTATGGGACTCACTGTGCTTTGAGGCTCCAGATCCCAGTTTACAACTTTATTCCAGAAAAATACAATTTCCTGAAAAACAACAAAATTTCTCTGTTGACCACAGTTCAGAAAAGTAGTTTCCTGAAACCCTCCCCCATTGCTTATCCAGAGAAATACTGAACTGCCTTCTTGGTTGGATACAAAACACATGCATATGAAATATATCCACATAAGGCAACCACATGACATGGGTTTTCCACACTCTACCAGGAAATCATTTGCTCTAAATAATCTCTCCAGAGCCTTAATTTCCTCTCATCTTTCCTGCTTGAATTTATTTGTGTTGTTCATTTTATCTAGCCCTACTCCCTCAACAATTGAGGGTCTAATCCAGATGACTTCCCTCACATCTGCCACGCTACCCGAGTTTTACTTAAATGTGATTCCCCTGCAACTTTCCCTTTTCTATTCCCTGTACCAGGTGTTGTAGGCCATGCACATCCAATTTCATTCTCATCAACTTTAGTTTTCTCCCAGCCCACAGAGCTTCAGATTTCTTGTAGCAGCCTGTTTCCTTGGGTGTGTTAGCTGAGAATGTTAAATTCTTCCATCCCAAGGAATTGCTCAACTGTTGCATTCACCAGACTTGTCAAGCGCATAGCCTTGCATTCCCTGATCCTGTGTGCTATGAATATTTCTGGAAACAAAAGAATTTTATCTTGCAATTTGTCAATCAAGGAAGTAGGCATATTGGTAAGTACTGGAAGTTCCCCTCTTCCTCACCCAGGAGGATTAACCTATTCTGCCTACAAATGACCCAAGTTTCAAATAACAAATTACCTTGTGTTCAAAGTCTTATTTTTTTCCCTTGTATGATAATTTCTATGAGATGTGAAGCCAATGACTCAGGCCTCCTTATTGTTAACCATTGTTTGTCATACCGAAGAGCTAGATATCAGGAAAAAAGCAATGGTTCCCTCTCTAATCCCACATGTTGACCTTTTAAATTTTGAAAATATTTGAATTAGAACTCTGTTGTAGAGATTCTGGAAGCTCAGGCAGAAATTGGAATCTTTTTGTTTTGTTAGCATCTCCTATGGTTCCAGGAACAGAGCGCCCTCACTTATCACTGGTTTTTATGTGATATTGCTCAGGCTTTTCACCTGGAACATATGAAGCACAAATATAGTTATAAAGAGCTGTGTGTACATACACACATTCATGGTATCAAATTGGATTCTTGATTCCTAGCAAGAATTAAAAGTATTTAAGATGAAGTCACTTGTGGGGACAATGTACTCAGGTGTCTGGCCATTCTGTCCTGTTGAAGCCATGCCAGATGTCCACTTAAGACAAGACAACCTGCCAAAGAAGCTCTGTTCCCTCAAGTTAGACTCAGGGTTAAGGAATGAGCCAAAGAAAGAACTATGAAATGATAAGGTCATCCTTATAGCAGTAGCATATGTCTTTATGGCCATTACCCAAGGGAAATTATTAAACAATCCTACCCCCTCTACAGCTTATGCATGCTGGAGGAGAGAGGGCAGGGACCTGGAAAAGTAATGAAGAAGTCACAGTTCTCAGGAGCCATGGGAAGCCTGCATTGTCTGACAGTTTCCAAAATTGTACTTTTAATGTTCCTTTTGGTCACGTATTCTAGGTACATGCATGAGGCACTAAGTTAGCTCCTTGACAATTTCCTAACATGTAAACTCAACATGGTAGGAGTATATTTCTTTTTCCCAAGTGGCTGATCCTCATTGATGAGTTATGCCATACTGAGCAGTGGCTTGGCGACCTAAGAACTTTCTAGGGGTTGGGCCCCAATAAGTGTAAGAGGAAACAACCAATATTCAATCTTAATTGTGCATGACAACGAACATTCCCCAACCTAAAATCTAAACAGCATGTTTACATGAGGACATCTTATGAGATATCCAGGGATTCTTTTCTCATCAAGAGTTTGAATTCTTGAAGTGTTACTTCTTCTAACTTACTCTTTAGTACAGACTCCACAGGTAAATGCAAAGTGTATCCCTTCTTGTCTTCAAATGTACTAATCAACCACCTCCAAAATTATATATGGATCAGAATTCAAAACAGCTTCTCACAACTTCTCAGCAACTTTTGTGAATTTGATGTCAGTTTATAATTTATCTTCTTGCCTGAGGAATAGGAATGATTTAGGTTTGACTGCTCTATAATTGATCTTAGTTTCAGAGCTCTGCTTTATTGCCAGAAGAATAATTATATTTTTATAGCTTTTGTAGACTTTGGGACATTTAATTTTATAGACAAAAATGTTCATTGTTTATGGGCTAAGTTGCATGATATCTATCTCTCTCTCTATATATATATCAAAGTGTTTTTTGGAGAATCTTTATTGTAAAATTAGTTCCAGAGTCAAATTATGCAAAAATAACTTATGAGGGAATTCCTGTTTTTCCAATATTACTAAAACAGATTGTTTCATGCCCTGTAGTTTTTTCTTTTCTAGGTGCTCAACACTCTTTTTTTTTTTTTTTTTTTTACAATTTGTTTATTTATTATGTGTACAGTGTTCAGCCTGCTTGTATGCCTGCAGCCAGAAGGGGGCACCAAATCTCATTACAGATGGTTGTGAGCCACCATGTGGTTGCTGGGAATTGAACTCAGGACCTTTAGAAGAGCAGGCAGTGCTCTTAACCACTGAGCCATCTCTCCAGCCCCATGCCCTGTAGTTTTAAATGTGTTCCCAAACAATTGTAGATAAGATGTACACAAGATTTCTTGCCAACAGGAATGTGGGTTTTCCTGAGCTGGTGTCATGGTCTACTTTCACACTGCCGCTGCAAACTCGACAATCAGTCTGATACTTTAAATCATCTAAACATTAGTTATACCAGAACCCCAATGAGCACCTCGCCTTGACACAAGGATAGATTCTATTTTCCATTGTGTTTGATAATGTTACAGGACAGGTCATTCCATTTAGTCGACTGTTGGTCCATTTGTGATTTGTAGCTTACTAATTTCTGGGAGTCAACATGGCACAGAATTATTTTGTTTGTCAGCCACACTTTCACAATTGGAAAGATGATAATTTCAGTTTTCAAAATCTTCTAGATTACTGATTTTTGATTCATGATTATGGTGTGGTAATTAAGTAAATATTTGAATGCATTGGATCATGGAAAGACTCGTGTCCACCTTCGGCTACTCCTTTATAAAACTACAGTTAGTCAAGATTGTATACCCCAGTGTATGATCCCACAGACATGCAATGGGTGATCAAATCTTGCAGATATTCATAATTAATTGGTCAAAGTGCCAAGTCTTGTGTGCTCAGTGCTAATACAGGCCATCCCTGTTACTCCTTTTAAGGCTCAGGGAACATTTCTGAAGAATGATGTATTAATTTTCTACAGTTGTGATAAGACACTCAAGCAACTTAAAAAAAATGTTTACCTGGGTTCCTTGTTCCAGAGGTTTAGAGTCCATGGTGGTGGAAGCATGCCTACAGTATGCCTCATGTCAGCAATGTCTGAGAGCTCACATCTCCAAACACACGCAGGAGACAGAGGGGCACTGGGGATGGTGGAAAGCTTTTAACAATGCTCCCTCCTCCCATGATACTCCCTCTAACAAGGTCACACCTTTTAACCCTTCTCCCAAAAGTGCCATTATCTGGGGACCATGTATACAAATATAAGAGTCTATGGGGTCATTCTCATTCAAGCAATCAGAAGTGGGTAGAAATCCTGTAAGAACTAAGAGATAAGTAGCACTATTTTAAAAGGCTATCCTTTGGACATGACAAAGCTGTTGAGTTTATGAAATCACAGTGGTTATATGCACAAGTCTTTCACAAGATTGGGCCCATCAGCATTCCATCATGGATAGAGGCCCCACCCATTCTTTGTAGAGGGCAAAGTGGCCTTGTGAACATAGATAAACACTGGATAAGCCAGGAAAGTTAAGCATACAGTTTATCTCTTCAATGGAATGAGGTACTTTACTTCCTGTAATGCCAGGAATGATACGGTTTTGCAACCTAATGATCCTTTGCTGTCTGATGAGACAAGCTCTTCCCATGTCACCCAGAATTTACTTATCTCAGACCCTTTCTTCCTAAATATTGAGGAATTTGGGTCATAAAACCTATCCTTATGAGAGACATCACTTATACTTTACTGTGGTCTAAGTGACTTGTTTGTTATCTTAGTCCTGACACCCATAGGCATTATGTTTACCTCAGTCATTCTCCTTATCTTGAGCATTGTTTCCAAGTCAACAAGAAACCATCTTACAGATGAATCCATATGTGCTTTGTAAAGAGCTTCAACGTACACGTCTTAACATGTTCTGTACTTGGGACTTAGTTCATTGTTACCTGAACATGCTTTTCCAAAACTGTGCTGTACTTAAATATGGCTAAAGTAAAATGATCTGGGCCAGAGTCTAAAAGTCCTGGTCCTTTGCTGGTTACAATAAAATCAAGCTGGTCTGAATTTTATTCTTATCTCATCCTGATTGTTCATTCCTGTATAAAGCCTGCAGGAGAACCATCATACTCCTTCAGAAGCTATTGACAAATAATGGTTTCTGGGGAAGAAGAAGTCAGGGCTTTTTTTTTTTTTTTTTTATAGCTGATGGCTAGTTGTTTACGCTTTCTGCCCATGCTCATGTCAGGAACCTTAGTTAAACACACATACAAAAAGACATGGACATAGAAGAGGAACCCGTAGAGAAGTAGTTCAGTGGAAGTGGGGGTGGAAGGGGAAGGAAAAACAATAGGACATGAATAGGATCAAATGTCATATACATATCTAAAGTTGTCAAGATAAATACCAAATTAAAAGTTTGGGAACATTGTTCCCTTCCTATGTTTTGAATAATAATCATT